GTCTCTGTGCAGGCTACATGGGTTCCTCCACACCAAACTCAATTCAAACCATGTTTTTATGGATGGTGATCAGTAGTGCATAAGGTCAAAGTCTATGTGCAGGCCTCTGCAGGTCCTCTGCATCAAACTCATCAAACCATGTCGAGTTGTTGGTGATGGTATATCAGTAGGGCTGAGGTCAAGTTTCGGTGAAGACACTTGGATTCCTCCACACCAAACTCATTCAAAACCATGTCATTGTTGTTGGTAATCAGTAGGGCTGAGGTCAAGTCTATGTGCAGACCTCTGCAGGTCCTCGCCGCATCAAACTCATCAAACCATGTTTTGTTGATGGTATCAGTAGGGCTGAGGTCAAGTTTCGGTGAAGAGTCCACTTGGGTTCCTCCACACCAAACTCATCAAACCATGTTTTTATGGATGGTGATCAGTAGAGCTTGAGGTCAAGTCTATGTGCAGACCTCTGCAGGTCCTTTCACATCCAACTCATTCAAACCATGTACATTTTGGATGGAATCAGTAGGGCTCAGGGGCGGACTGACAAATCATGGGGGCCCCGGGCAATAGGGGATCATTCGTGGGCCCCTGTGTCCTTGCCCAAACTCATAAAGCCTATGAAAAAGGTACCAGGGGCATCTCATGGGGCCCACTACTGACCCCGGGCCCTCAGGCAGTGCCCAAGTTTTCCAAATGGTCAGTCTGCCCCTGGTAGGGCTGAGGTCAAGTTTCGGTGAAGGCCACTTGGGTTCCTCCACACCAAACTTCTCATCAAACCATGTTTTTATGGATGGTGATCATGTGAGCTGAGGTCAAGTCTATGTGCAGGCCCATGAAAGGTCCTTCAGATCGCAAATTCATCAAACCATGTCATTGTGGATGGTCAATAATCCGTTTAGGGCTGAGGTCAAGTTTCAGGGAAAGGCCACTTGGGTTCCTCCACACCAAATCATCAAACCATGTTTTTTTGCGGATGGTGATCAGTAGAACTGAGGTCAAGGTCTATGTGCAGGCCCCTCAAGGTCTAGTCCTCCATATCAAACTCATGAAACAATGTCTTTATGGATGCTGATCAATAGAGCTGAGGTCAGGTTTCTGGACAGGCCATTTAGGTTCCTCCACACCAAACTCGTCCATTTCTTTATGGAGCTGGCTTAGTACACAGGGGGCACAGTCAAAGGAGTCACCCCCAAAACTGTTACCAATAGTTTGGAAGAACACAATGGTCTAAAATGACTTTGTATGAGGTAGTATTAACGGTACTCTCGAAAACATTTAGCCATATTATATAAAAATAAATAAAACAAACCATTTGTTTTGCCCATTGGAGAAGACACTGGGGAAGTTTAGTTCACGGGAACAAGCCTTGAAGGGATTGTCTCATGTTTTTCTGATACTCGTTGCACAATTTTACCCTGCCGATGTAAATTTTCCTCATCCAACCCGTCATTTTTTCAGAAGAAGAACACAAGACCCACAAAGAACGTTGGCGAGACGTTGTAACAGAACTGCAGAAGAAGATCACTGTCCCAGTCTGGGGCCCGAAGACTGAGGTTATGGTCCATAAAAGGACAATCCAGAGAAAAGATAGTGCTGTGCTCCATCCTAAAATTCATCTCTGCAGCGTTCGGCCAAATTTTTTATCACAAGCGGAGCCTCTGCCTATACAGAAGGACGCTGGGCGGAGGAAATGTCTTATCGTTATGTAATAACCAAACAAAGACAGATAATCTCATCAGTTATTTCTGAAGAGCGCGTGCAGCACACGCGAGGGACCCACAAGAATAATATTTGGGGGAATCTCCACTTTGAACTCTGTTTGGAAGTTACATAGCTGTGTATTTTTGCACTAGCTCTTCCCCAAATCACAAGGAAAATAAATAGAAAAAACCGCCATTGTTTAAAGTATTCATTTACGTAGACGGTCTCACCGCTAGAACAAGGTCCCTTAGAAGGTGAAACGGCCAAAAGTGTGCCCCCTACCCTACCCCAAGAGCTGTGAACTACATAGGTCGCCAAGTCCTGTCTTTATAGCACCCCCTCCTGCTGAAGTGCCAAGGTGGGCCGCCTCTTCTGCCTACCCCTCAGCCTGGCCCCAAGTCTGGTGACTCTGATCTTCGCGTCGCGGGATGAGCTCCAAGTCCCGTTATTTAAAGCGGTAGTAGATGGACTACTTCTATATAGGTCATGGTTGCTCAGGAAGCTATCCTGTGGAGGACCTTCAGGGGCCTTCACATGGACTTGACCTCAGCTCTACTGATCACCATCCATAGCCTTCATTTACTGCCCGGGAATCCCCAACCATGGAAACCAAGGGCCGGGGGTTAGACTGACATTAATGACCAAATAGGCTACATGGCCATCTATCGGCAATGACTTTGACCAAATTTGGCCATGGGCACATTAGGTCAATGAGGTCAACCAAGAAACTCCACCCCTTTGGTTACTTCCCTTCAGTGAGGGAAATATAGGGATACACAGGGGCAGACTGACCATTCAAGCACTCGGCACTGCCCGAGGGCCTGGGGTCAGTAGGGGGCCCCATGAAGTGCCCCTGGTACCTTTTATAGGCTTTTTGGGTGTGCTTTGAGTGTGGGCAAGGACACAGGGGCCCCATGATCCCCTATTGCCCGGGGTGCCCCATGAGTTGTCAGTCCGCCCCTGGGGATACCCCTACTGATCCACAGAGGGATAGGGGTGGAATCTGGGGCCCTGTTACACATAAAGGAGGCTTCCAGATTCTGATATGCCCCCCATCAGTGGACCCCCATAACCACCAAGCCAGGGTTATGTGCAAGAGGTCCTTGTCCTCATCAACATAGAGGCAAGTACACATGTGCAGGACTATTCCTTTATTTTCTATTCTATTCAGTTTTACTCTATTCTCATTTAGTGTATTCCTTTATTTTTTTCTATTCTATTCTATTCTTTTATTTTCTATTCTATTCTTTTTGAAATCCGAATTTTGGAAGACAGCTATATTCTAACACTAATACACACAGTCTTTGAAGGAAATCAGAAAATATTCAGCATTTTATTTTCGAATTCGATTCAAATTCGAATCACAGCCACAATTTTGTTTCTTTTTTGGATTCCTTTAAATTCATTACTCTTGTAATTCAGAAATTCTGAGACCTCCGAATAACAAAAAATTAGTCCTAATTTTGATTCGAACAAAACGAACCGCACATGTCCAGTGGCACGGTGGGTCTCTAGCTTCCCAGGTGACCTCATCGATCGAATATTCCCACCGCAATATTTGGTCCAAAGGGGAACTTTAGCAGTCTGGGAGAGGTCATCGCATGACACCATGAAATCAGATGCGTCTGTTACATAGTGGGCCATTTTATTGGGTTTTATTTTGGGGGGGGTTGTCAAAAACTGTGTGTGTTTATTTACTTTTCACTTTTTTTGTGAATAAGTAGAGGTATTATAGGGGTACCCCTACTCATTCATATAGGGTATGGGCAGTTTTTGGAACCCCCCCTTACTCCAAATTCTAATAAGCCCCCCACCAGCAGACCCCCACAACCACCAGGCCAGGATTGTGTCCTCATCAACATGGATACACGGTGCTTTCTCGGGGTCCCTAGTGATGACATCACATGATCTAAACCCCAGGTTCACACCTAAGCATTTTCCGCAGCGTTTTTCAGAAAAGCACTACAGTCCTTTTAACATGATTTCCTATGGGACAGGTTTCACAACATCTCCACGTTTTTCACCCCAGTGCGTTTTTTTTTGGAAGGGGTCAGGGAATTTTTTTTAATGCAAAATGTTGCGTTTTTGGTTCTATAGACTTCAATGAAAATGCTGCAGAAATGCATGTAGGGCATTTTTGATGCGTTTTGCACTTTAACCACCTCCCATCCGGCTGTTGTACATAAACGGCCGGACGGTGGCAGTGCAGGGTCAGGTGGGTGTTTATAAATGGCTTCCCCCCCCCCTGCTTGTGCGCACTCCCTGGGAGCGAGCAGCACCGCGATCCGGTGCCCGCTATGTCCTCCGGACACAGTGGAACAACGATCGTCGTACGGGACTTCTGTGCGAGGTCCCGATCATGTGATCACTGATTGGCCAATCAGTGATCACATACAGAGTAGTAAGCAAGATGCCACTTCTGACATCATTGCTTACTACGTGTGAAATCTGTGAATGATCACAGAGATCATGTGGTACAGGGCTATTCACAACAGCCTTGTACCATGTGACAAGCTGTGACCAATCACAGCTCTCACAGTATTTCTCAATGACTGCAAGAATGCAGCCAGAGAGAAGGAGAAATGATTGCTTTTTACAGCCTTTATGGGTGTAACAGCAATCAGTGTAAAAAAAAAACTCTTCATCACACCCCCCACAAGTAGTACAGTGTCACCATGGTGACAATGTACTGCTAGGGTGACGTATGTAAAAAAAAAAAAAAAAAAATCTTTATTATTAATAATAATAATAATAATAATATAAAAACATAAAATAAAAATGTAAAAAAAATGTTTAAAAATTATAATTTTTGGTTATAAACTAAATTTGGGTTATTTTTTTTTACTAAAAAGATAACGGAATACATTTTGGCCAAGATTTTATGATGAAATATTATTTATTTGCAAAATTTTATAAGAAAAACACTTTTTTTTCAAAATTTTTTGGACATTTTTATTTACATAGCAAAAAAAAAAAAAAATCCCAGCGGTGAATAAATACCACCAAAATAAAGCTTTATCTGTCTCAAAAAAATGCTAAAAAAAGTCATATGGGTACAGTGTTGCATGACCGAGCAATTGTCATTCAAAGTGTGACAGCGCTGAAAGCTGAAAATTGGCCTGGACAGGAAGGGGGTAAAAGTGTCCGGACTGGAAGGGGGGGAAAGTGTCCGGATGGAAGGGGGGGAAAGTGTCCGGACTGGAAGGGGGGGAAAGTGTCCGGACTGGAAGGGGGGGAAAGTGTCCGGACTGGAAGGGGGGTGAAAGTGTCCGGACTGGAAGGGGGGGAAAGTGTCCGGACTGGAAGGGGGGGAAAGTGTCCGGGACTGGAAGGGGGTGAAAGTGTCCCGGACTGGAAGGGGGGGGAGAAAGTGTCCGGACTGGAAGGGGGGGAAAGTGTCCGGACTGGAAGGGGGGGAAAGTGTCCGGACTGGAAGGGGGGGGGAAAGTGTCCGGACTGGAAGGGGGTGAAAGTGTCCGGACTGGAAGGGGGGGAAAGTGTCCGGACTGGAAGGGGGGGGAAAGTGTCCAGACTGGAAGGGGTAAAAGTGTCCGAACTGGAAGGGGGTGAAAGTGTCCGGACTGGAAGGGGTGAAAGTGTCCAGACTGGAAGGGGGGGAAAGTGTACCAATAAATAAATAATTTGCGCTAGTAAAATGTGTATAAATATATAAATATATATAAAGAAATCATCAAATCATAAGTCCAGAAAAAAATATATATATGCCAATACCATAAAAAAAAAAAAAAAAAAAAAAAAAAAAAATTTATAAAAAAAACTTTTAAGTGCAAAAAACTTTTGTGCAAAAAAAGTGTCTAAATATGAAAAATTTCACCAAAAAGCCTTGATAATATAATGGCAGATCATCCATAAATATATCTTCAGAAACGGAAACTCTGCAAACACACCGATCCTCATCGATCGAAAATAACAGGATGAAAAACTTTGTAGTTAATCGAAAATCCACTTCTCCAATAGATAAAGGACCACCTTCAAACGTATCCATCAAGCTCCGCCCTACGCGTTTTCGTCATCGACGTTCTCACGGAGCGGAGCGGATGATGAGGACGTCAATGACGAAACGCGTAGGGCGGAGCTTGATTGATGTGACGTCATTACGTTTTTGACTGCCAGCTATTGCACATGTGCTGAGTAGTCAGGCTCGTTTATGTGATTGCTGTTATGCTGTTGATGCTGGTGTCGGCTGGGACACCTCTTGAGTAAGTGCAATGAGTACCTAATAAAGGAATTGGTTTTTATAACATTGCACCATGAAGTCTTTCTGTTTCTCTCGAGTGCTTGGCATTTCCCCCCATGGATACGTTTGAAGGTGGTCCTTTATCTATTGGAGAAGTGGATTTTCGATTAACTACAAAGTTTTTCATCCTGTTATTTCGATCGATGAGGATCGGTGTGTTGCAGAGTTTCCGTTTCTGAAGATATATTTATGGATGATCTGCCATTATATTATCAAGGTTTTTTTTGGTGAAATTTTTCATATTTAGACACTTTTTTTGCACAAAAGTTTTTTGCACTTAAAAGTTTTTTTATAAATTTTTTTTTTTTTTTTTTTGTGGTATTGGCATATATATATTTTTTTTCTGGACTTATGATTTGATGATTTCTTTATATATATTTATATATTTATACACATTTACTAGCGCAAATTATTTATTTATTGGTACACTTTATATATGGTGATTTTTTGCAGCTGGTACACACTATTAGTAAGTTATATAATTTTGACCATAGGCGCTATTATTAATTTTTCTTAAGGGGGGGAAAGTGTCCGGACTGGAAGGGGGGGAAAGTGTCCGGACTGGAAGGGGGTGAAAGTGTCCGGACTGGAAGGGGGGCAAAGTGTCTGGACTGGAAGGGGGTGAAAGTGTCCGGACTAGAAGGGGGGGAAAGTGTCCGGACTGGAAGGGGGTGAAAGTGTCCGGACTGGAAGGGGGGAAAGTGTCCGGACTGGAAGGGGGTGAAAGTGTCCGGACTGGAAGGGGGGGAAAGTGTCCGGACTGGAAGGGGGTGAAAGTGTCCGGACTGGAAGGGGGGGGAAAGTGTCCGGACTGGAAGGGGGGGAAAGTGTCCGGACTGGAAGGGGGTGAAAGTGTCCAGACTGGAAGGGGGGGAAAGTGTCCGGACTGGAAGGGGGTGAAAGTGTCCGGACTGGATGGGGGGGAAAGTGTCCGGACTGGAAGGGGGGGAAAGTGTCCGGACTGGAAGGGGGGGAAAGTGTCCGGACTGGAAGGGGGGGAAAGTGTCCAGACTGGAAGGGGGGGAAAGTGTCCGGACTGGAAGGGGGGAAAGTGTCCGGACTGGAAGGGGGGAAAGTGTCCAGACTGGAAGGGGGGAAAGTGTCCAGACTGGAAGGGGGAAAGCGTCCGGACCAGGGGTGGACTGACAACTCATGGGGCCCTCTGGCAATAGGGGATCATGGGGCCCCTGTGTTCTCGCCCACACTCAAACCACACCCAAAAAAGCCTATAAAAGGTACCAGGGACATCTCATGAGGCCCCCTACTGACCCCGGGCCCTCGGGCAGTGCCCAAGTTCCCCAATGGTCAGTCCGCCCCTGGTCCGAACTTGAAGGGGTTAAATCTGCCTAGCAACAAGAAAAATAAAATAAAAAAATGCAAAATGCATCAAAAACGCTGAAAAAAAAACGCATGTGCAAAAATGCAAAACACTGCAGAAAGGGATCAAATGCAAACTGCATAGGTGTGAACCTAGCTGTAGTGAGTTTTATTGCTTTTTGTTGAGTTTTTGCCAAGTTTTTGATGCATTTTGTGTTTTAAATCTGTCTAGCAACAAGAACAATTTTAAAAAAAGCATAAAAAATGTGGAAAAAAAAAAATGCAACGCAAAACGCAATGCAGAAACGGCTCAAACGCAACCTGGATAGGTGTGAACCGAGCCTAAGATAAAGTATGTTTTTTTGTAAAACTTTGCATTTTCATATTGATGGGGGAGGGGCCATGAAAGGCAAAATAGAAAATGAATCTTCAGCGTAATGGATGCTTTTTTTGTTTTTTTTTGTTTTGTTTTTGTTTTTATGAGAAAAGGTGGAGCTTTTAAATAATGTTGCTATTGCTGTATATAGTGAGCAGTCAGGATCTCGCCTCTGCAGACGCGCAAAGGTAGTGACAGGCAGTGGCCGTCCCGAGGCAGGTGCGGGGGGGGGGGTGCACACCACATGGGGTGACACCCAGGGGTGGACTGACAACTCATGGGGCCCTGGGCAATAGGGGATCATGGGGCCCCTGTGTCCTTGCCCAAACTCAAAAAAGCCTATGAAAAAGGTACCAGGGGCATCTCATGTGGCCCCCTACTGACCCCGGGCCCTCGGGCAGTGCCCAAGTTTCTAAATGGTCAGTCCGCCCCTGCACCTACCACATGGGGTGACACCGGACCCGCTCCAAGAAAAGGTAAGTTGTAAAGCAAGCCGACGATCCCCGCAGGATGGATCGGATCTGCGGATTGAGCATAATGGTTCAGAGTCCGATCCATCCTGCGGGGATCGTCGGAGGAGGTGTCACCAAGTGTTACCGCACCGGGTGACACCATCCCTAGGGAGGGTGACAGGTCCACTTTAAATGTAACTCCAATTATTAAAACGTGTCCAGGTTCAGGCAGAGCAGCCGCAGAGGATTCTGGGAGGGAGGACTTGGCCGGAGGAGGAGGGAGCGGAGACAAGGCTCAGGAAATGGCTCAGCTAATGGACGGATCTATAGATGGATCCAGCGGAGACGACATCATCCCGGAATGACGGGAGAAGCGGAACAAAGTCTGAAGAATTCTCTCGATTAATTACCGAAATGGATTCACTTTATGTGTCACATCAGAGGACGCCGAAGAGTCACATGACCTCATCACCAGCACAGAGATACAAGGACATTAAATGGGACTAAAAATAACTTTTCATCGAATTATTCACCCCACTGACTATAGAATATAACAGAATACCGAGAATGACACCCGGCATCCAGGACAGGAGAAGTGGGACTGTGCAGAGTCCATACATACAGAATAAGGACAGATACCGAGAATTACACCCGGCATCCAGGACAGGGGAAGTGGGACTGTGCAGAGTCCATACATACAGAATAAGGACAGATACCGAGAATTACACCCGGCATCCAGGGCAGAAGTGGGACTGTGCAGAGTCCATATATATGTAATAAGGGCAGATACTGAGAATGACATACGGCATCCAGGACAGGAGAAGTGGGACTATGCAGAGTCCATACATACAGAATAAGGACAGATACCGAGAATGACACCCGACATCCAGGACAGGAGAAGTGGGACTGTGCAGAGTCCATACATACAGAATAAGGACAGATACCGAGAATGACACCCGGCATCCAGGACAGGAGAAGTGGGGGGACTATGCAGAGTCCATACATACAGAATAAGGACAGATACCGAGAATGACACCCGACATCCAGGACAGGAGAAGTGGGACTGTGCAGAGTCCATACATACAGAATAAGGACAGATACCGAGAATTACACCCGGCATCCAGGGCAGAAGTGGGACTGTGCAGAGTCCATATATATGTAATAAGGACAGATACCGAAAATTACACCCGGCATCCAGGACAGGAGAAGTGGGACTATGCAGAGTCCAGGGGCGGACTGACCATTTGGGAACTCGAGCACTGCCCGGGTGCCCGGGGTCAGTAGGGGGCCCCATGAGATGTCCCTGGCACCTTTTCATAGGTTTTTTTTGGGTGTGCTTTGAGTTTGGGCGAGGACACAGGGGCCCCATGATCCCCTATTGCCCGGGGGCCCCATCAGTTGTCAGTCTGCCCCTGGCAGAGTCCATACATATAGAATAGGGACAGATACCGAGAATGACACCCGGCATCCAGGACAGGAGAAGTGGGACTGTGCAGAGTCCATACATACAGAATAGGGACAGATACCGAGAATGACACCCGGCATCCAGGACAGGAGAAGTGGGACTGTGCAGAGTCCATACATACAGAATAGGGACAGATACCGAGAATGACACCCGGCATCCAGGACAGGAGAAGTGGGACTGTGCAGAGTCCATACATACAGAATAGGGACAGATACCGAGAATGACACCCGGCATCCAGGACAGGAGAAGTGGGACTGTGCAGAGTCCATACATACAGAATAAGGACAGATACCGAGAATGACACCGGGAAAATTGAAACCTCTTGCTTATGGATTCAAATCGTCATCAGATCCCAGGAGAAATCTTCTGATTGGCCCCCGGTCTGCACACGCTCCGGTCAGAAGGGGTTAAACGCAGGGGGTAGCCAACGGCCAGCGCACTCCGGCGAGAGGCGATTTGGACGCCGGCGTCTCTTTGGGAACATATCTGGATTGTGTAACTCGGAGCAGAATTATGGGGTCAGTATAAATAAGGAGGTGCGAGGAAAGTGGCGCTGACGTAACGTCGGCCGGTGTCTCCATCCCTAATGGATAACACGCCGCGGCCTGACATCAACCCCCCACCGCCCCAGTCCCCCCAACCCCCCACCCCCCAGTCCCACCATCCCCCCACCGCCCCAGTCCCCCCCAACCCCCCAGTCCCACCATCCCCCCCACCGCCCAGTCCCCCCCCCCGACCCCCCAGTCCCACCATCCCCCCACTTCACTTCACCCCCCATCCCGGTGATGGAAATTTATTTTCAGCTTTAATAAAACATTCTCTTAAAAAAAAAAAAAAAAAAAAAAAAGATGTCTATTCGCCGAAAAAATAAAATCCTTCATCCGCTTCTTCTGGACGGGGGTGGGGTGGGGGGGGACCTTACATAGGGACAGTCTACAGGAGGCAGCTCTGTTCTTAATAAAACGATCGCTTTAACGAAACGACCTAAAAAAAAAACCCGTCCAAGACAAGCGCGGCGCAGGGGGGGGGGGGGGGGCGGGAAGAAAGTGTAATAAGTTTTCTATTTTCTTTTCGCAGTTTTATTGCTGTGAGATGAGGGCTGGACGGCGGCCGAGGATGATGTCACGGCGGCGGTGTTTGCCCAGCTGGGGCGACGTCACTGTGAAAATAAGAATCGCTTCTTTCTGTCGCCGTCGGGGGACCGGGGCCCTATTACCGGGATCTGAGAGCGAACGAGGCCAGGTGCGCTTTTATTGCTGCGTGCAACGAGGCAGGAACGTTCCTTTTACTGCAGTGACACCTTCGTACATTGAGATGATGGAGTTATTGGGTGACAACTTTCCACAGAGACCCCTCCCCCCACCAACAAAATCTCCATCTTTAGGGGCCCATTCACAACTTCTGCAGAATTAGGACAGATACCGAGAATGACACCCGGTATCCAGGACAGGAGAAGTGGGACTGTGCAGAGTCCATACATACAGAATAGGGACAGATACCGAGAATGACACCCGGCATCCAGGACAGGAGAAGTGGGACTGTGCAAAAGTCCATACAATACAGTATAAGAACAGATACTGAGAATTACAGTCCCCGGCATCCAGGACAGGAGAAGTAGGACTGTGCAGAGTCCATACATACGTAATAAGGACAGATACCGAGAATGACACCCGGCATACAGGACAGGAGAAGTGGGACTGTGCAGAGTCCATACATACAGAATAGGGACAGATACCGAGAAAAACACACACTTCCGGCATACAGGACAGGAGAAGTGGGACTCTGCACAGTCCCACTTCTGTCCTGGATGCCAGGTGTCATTCTCGTATCTGTCCTTATTATGTATATATGGACTCTGCACAGTCCCACTTCTGTCCTGGATGCTGGGTGTCATTCTCGGTATCTCCTCTTATTCTGTATGTATGGACTTTGCACAGCCCCACTTCTCCTGTCCTGGATGCCGGTGTCATTCACAACAATAATAACAACAATATAAATTACTATTATCAAAATCATCATCATCAATAATTACAAATCATTATGTAATTGGTAATTTAAAAAACAAATAAATATATATATAAAAATATTAAAAACACCAGTAATAAAATAATAATTATTATTAATATTGTTATTAAAAATTAAATAAAAAAAAATAAAAAATGTCTTCTATGGGGAAATCATGTAATTTATGTAAAAAAAAAAATATATAAATATAAATATATGTACAGCGCTGAGCGAACTATTGGCGCTTTATAAATACTTAAATAATAAAATAATAATAAATAAAATATAAATCAATATATATATATATATATCTATATATATTTATATTTATATATATTTATTTATTTCAGGTACTTATATAACG